CAGATTATCTGCTTGTCCTTTCTTACTGCTTTTAAGCCATTTTGTTGTTCACATGTATTTTTGCAGTGGAAAGGAAAGGAGGTGTGGAAAGCTAGAATCACTGTATAATTCATTAAACTAGTTAAGTTTAATGGTAAAGGAAGTGGAAATGGGGAACTAACATAAACTCATATTATCTGTCAATTTCACATGCCTGTTACTCTTACAGTACTATTGGAAGGGAGGTGATTGGAATTTAGTTATTTTGCTATGAGATTTCTTGATAAACATGCACAAATGAGCTTCCCCTCGTATTCAGATCAGGTAAAATTCTGATCAAATGCCTCCAAAAAAATCTCCAGTTTCTTAGAAAAAAACATTATTGAGCAGGGGTGGTAATCCAGGAATGAGCTGGAAAGTATCTCACTGATATAACTAAAAGACAACACAAGTAGCACTTTTTTAAAAAAGAAAGAAAATGATAAAAAAATATTTTTTATAAAAAATAAAATAACTTTGTTTTAGATACTAAACTGCAGACCTGTGCCTGTGCTCTAAGTTGCTTCAGTCGTGTCTGATTCTTCATGACCCTGTGGACCGTAGCCCACCTCTGTTCAAGGGATTCTCCAGGCAAGAATACTGGAGTGGGTTGCCATGCCTCGGCCCAGGGGATCTTCCTGACCTATGAGTTGAACCTGAGTCTCTAATGTCTCCTGCATTGGCAGACAGGTTCTTTACCACTAGTGCCACAAACTGCAGACATACTGGTTTTTAAACTCTTATATCTATTTGAATTTACTAGATTATGGAATTTGGCAATGGATTCACCCCCTGAAATATCTGCTCTAACTTCAAAAAGCTATGCCTTGGGCACTTACCTGGTGGTCTAACAGTTTAACACTTCACCCTAACATTTCAGGGAGTGCTGATTCCTTAAATGGGTTGAATGTAGGGGTGAATTGGTGGGTTGAGGAGGAAGAGTAGCTTAAGTGGTCTGCCCACCCCTTGATGGTACTGTGTGCAGGGATCATATGCAGTACCATGCTTCTGTTCCTGGCACCTTAGAAATGGCCATTGATCTACAGCCTTTTTGTATCTTATTGTAAGTAATGACCCCAACGGCGCATGCGTGCCATTATTTTTAGTCCCTTTGAGTTTCTTTGTACTTTCTTGCTGGAGGATTCGTTTGTTCAGGTTCAGGCACCACAGTAAAGGGTCACAGGTCCCAGTTTATCTGACCGAAGACAGGCAGTCCAGCATAATTGGAGCACAGTGAAGGACTAGGAAAGGAATCTCAGATAAGGTCAGAGGAGGCAAGGTCTAGAACCCAGACTTCGCATCATCTGCGGCTTTGTAATTCATCAGAGTCTGAATTCATTATAAGTTCAGTAGGAAGGCATTGATAATTCTAAGCAGGGAAGTTATATATACCTTTAAAAGACCACTGAATGAATGGAAAGATAGATGAATGATTGAGGCCCTTCTGAGGTCATCTAGGAGGAAGTGGAGAATAGAAACTAATAAAAACATACATTGTTTCAAACCCTTAAAGCAGGGGTCCCCAACCTTTCTCACACCAGGGACCAGTTTCATGGAAAGCAATTTTTCCATGAACCAGGGAATGGGGAGTGGTTTAGGGGTAATTCAAGTGTATTACATTTACTGTGCACTCTATTTCTATTATTACATCAGCTCCACCTCAGATTAACAGGCCTAAAATACTAGAGATTGGGGGCCCCTGCCTTAGATTGTATGTTGCCCACAGAAATTTCTTAGACACTGACTGGAATATTTCTTTGTATCATGCTGGGAGTATCTTGCTGGAAGTATCTCCTAGTGCTAACTTACTTTCTGAGATTTATCACATAAACTCTTCATGAGTATCTTTAGAAAAGCTAATGTTGGGAATAACAAATTTCTAACATAGCGTTAAAAGTATTAACTTTAACGAGAGCATGGGAAGGAAAAATTCATATTGTTATAAATATTTTAGAAGTATTTAGGGGAACACATTGGTGTTTATAAAATATAAAAAAACAGCCCCGGCTGGTTAGATTCTACATTCATATAGTTGTTGCTTCAAATAAAGAGGGGTCTGATTGGGAAGTGACAAGCTGTTAATAAATGAATACACTGGATACAATGGAAGGAGCTATCAACGGAGTATTTACTCACTCTATGGAATTTACTGTCTCGAGGGATTAAACCTCATGATTTCTTTCTTTATTCTTTGTAAAGACCATGGGAATCATGACAGAATTAAATTTTAGTGCCTGTTTTAACTTTTGATGTTTTATGATGCACATAAGCTTTTAAGCTTGCTTCAAACATTCGAAAATCATCCAAGGGGGGAAAAGGACATCCTGTTAACATGGAGGTGGGAAAATCTAACTGATTTTTTTTTTCCTTTCAAAATCCCTGTAAATTAGGTACTATTTCTATTTCCCAAAGAAGAAACTGAGTTTCAAAGAAGAAACTGACTCATCTAAGTGTGTTAGCTGGTAATTGACAAAGGCATCATTTGAACCCAGACCTGTGGTTCCAAGGCTGGGATCATTGATAGCTCCCCAACAAGTTGATCTTTGGTGCTAATTTAAAAATTGCAGAGGGACTTCCCTGGCTCTCCAGTGGTTAAGACATCACCTTCCAGTGTAGGAGGTGTGGGTTCGATCCCTGTTCAGGGAACTAAGATCCCATGTGACTCGTAGTTAAAAAAACAAAACATAAAAGGCAAGCAGTATTGTAAAAAGTTTGATAAAGAGTTTTAAAATGGCCCACATAAAAAAAGAAATCTTTAAATAAAATAGAAATAAATAATTAAAAGAAAATAGATGCTGGGATGCACATGTGTGAGCTGATTTTAGAAACCATTCTTGATTTCAGCATGTTAAACACTCTCTTACTGTCATTAAAATCTTCTCACCTAGTTACTAGTTATTTTTTTAAGGTATCAGAGGTGTATCTTGCTAGAGAAGATCATCACCAGTAAGATGAGACTTGAGATAATTCTAGAAAGTGTTCATGCCTGAAATTTGACCTGCTTCTGGCATGTGTGACACATCAACTTGACAAATTTTAATGATTCTATTGACTATGGGAAATTCCATTAACATTTTGTTAACATTTATATTATCTTTAAGAAATAAACACATAAAATTTATATAATGTTTTATAATTTAAAAATCCTGCTGCATGTTTTGTGCCTGGCATTTTTTATTCGATGTAAAATGATGACCATTTCTCATTATTAAAATGTTTAAAACATTATCTTTAATCACAGCAAAATATACAATACCATCACATATCTGTATGATGATTTATTTATTGATTCTGTGCTTCCCTGGTATAGGTATTCTAGGGCTTCCCTGGTAGCTCAGCTGGTAAAGAATCTGCCTGCAATGCAGGAGACCTGGGTTTGATCCCTGGGTTGGGAAGATCCCCTGGAGAAGGGAAAGTCTACCCACTCCAGTATTCTGGCCTAAGGAATTCCATGGGCTGTATTGTACATGGGATCAAAAAGAGTCGGACACAACTGAGCAACTTTCACATAGTAGGAAAATTTCCTTTTTTTTTTTTTCAATTTTTTCCAATAATAACAGCACTGAAATAAATCTCCTGATATACAAATCTTTTAAAAAGTGAAATTTCTTATCCTAGACATAACAGTGCCTAAGAATGTTGGGAAATGGAGGTGGAAGAGGGTGTAGAAAATAGACAGGTGCCCCCCATCTCTCCTTTGAGTTTAAGGTTGACCTTAATTAATTTTTAAATTATCTGGAAAGAGTTTATCGTTGAGTCATAATCAATTCAGATATTCTAAGACATGTTCATATTTCTAATGTAGGGAGAAAAATTACACTTATTCCTATTTCTATGCAATCTGTAGATTTAATGTCCCAGACTCTGAGTCCATATTATCGACAAAAAATTCAGATATTGATACAAATCCCAACAAGCTCACTAGATATAAATTTCTGCAAAGGCCTTGAATTAGCATTCAGTTCAGTTCAGTTCAGTCACTCAGTCATGTCCAACTCTTTGCAACCCCATGAACCGCAGCACGCCAGGCCTCCCTGTCCATCACCAACTCCCAGAGTCCACCCAAACCCATGCCCATCGGGTCGGTGTTGCCATCCAACCATCTCATCCTCTGTTGTCCCCTTCTCCTCCTGCCTCCAATCCCTCCCAGCATCAGGGTCTTTTCCATTGAGTCAACTCTTTGCATGAGGTGGCCAAAGTATTGGAGTTTCAGCTTCAGCATCAGTTCTTCCAATGAACATTCAGGACTGATCTCCTTTAGGACTGGTTGGATCTCCTTGAAGTCCAAGGGACTCTCAAGAGTCTTCTCCAACACCACAGTTCAAAAGCATCAATTCTTCAGCGCTCATCTTTCTTCACAGTCCAACTCTCACATCCATACATGACCACTGGGAAAACCATAGCCTTCACTAGGCGGACCTTTGTTGGCAAAGTAATGTCTCTGCTTTTTAATATGCTATCTAGGTTGGTCATCACTTTCCTTCCAAGGAGTAAGCGTCTTTTAATTTCATGTCTGCAATCACCATCTGCAGTGATTTTGGAGTGATTTTGAATTAGCATACAAGAGAGCTAATCCCAACCCTGTATAAGCGCACATGAAATTCAAGGTAGAAAGTTAAGTTAAAAATAATTGCTTGTCTGGTAAAATGCAGTAGATAAGAAAAAAAGAAAGAAAGAAAAAAATCTTGCATCTGATCCTGGTCATGCCAAAAATTGCAGCTTAATTTCTGACCAGGTATTTAACATCTCTGAAAGCATTATCTGCTTTCAGATATAATCAGAGCCTTGCATCACTTCCTTTCCAGTCCTAAGACTGTGAGTTATTATTCTTCCCTACCTTCTGTAACCTTGTTCGGAAACCTTCCTTACAGGACACGCAGTGAGTAACGTCTGTTCTGTTAGTGATCATCCAGGTAGAATGAGATCCTTGATTTTAAGAACTTAGGGGAAATCTTTTAACATTTTTTCTCACTCTTTTTTAGGATTATCTGGGAGCTTGCATTGTCCTCACTGCATCTATTGCATCCATTAGTGGGTCTTCCAATTCTGGATTGGTGGGCTTAGGTCTTCTATATGCACTTACGGTAAGTATGGATGAAAACCTCTCTCTCTCTCTCTTTGTACCGCACTTGAGGTACTTTCTCTAGTCATCATCAACTCTTATTCATGGATGTTAGAGGACTAGTTAGAAATTCATAACAAGATGATAGCCTGCAAATAATAGTAGATTTGGGCCTAAACCCAGCGTTTTAGGATGGCATGGATTCATTTCTGACATTTTGAACCAATTTTTAGGAACTCCTGAAACACTGTGGTCAGAGTTCTCCCAAGGTTGTTTGAGATTCTTGTCCTGAGTTGCTCACCACCCATGTAGGAACACTAACTCCCGTGGGGGCCTCCCTGATAGCTCAGCTGGTAAAGAATCTGCCTGCCATGCAGGAGACTCTGGTTTGATTCCTGGGTCAGGGAGATCCGCTGAAGAAGGGATAGGCTACCCACTCCAGCATTCTTGGGCTTCCCTTGTGGATCAGCTGGTAAAGAATCCGCCTGCAATGCAGGAGACCTGGGTTCAATCCCTGGGTTGGGAAGAGCCCCTGGAGAAGGGAAAGGCTACTACCCACTCCAGTATTCTGGCCTGGAGAACTCTATGGATTGTATAGTTCATGGGGTCGCAAAGAGTTGGACACGACTGACTTTCACTTCACTTTCACTTCAACTCCCATGTGAATATACATGAGGTAAGTGGAAGCATCAACTATCCACTGGGCAAGGAAGTCAGGACAGTCCACAAATCATGATATCAGAGGACCATTGAAGAAGGGCAGATGCCTCCTTTGCCAACGTTGGCCCATGGCATCCTCTCTGATCTCTGATACCCTGTAGTGTGTATGAACTATACCCACGTGAGCAGTCCCAGTCATCCTATCCCCTCATATCCAGTGTCCACAAAAACTGTTACTTTATTTGCTATATGCTCATTGTTTTTGTCACCCGACACAGATAACCAATTATTTGAATTGGGTTGTGAGGAACTTGGCCGATGTGGAGGTCCAGATGGGCGCAGTGAAGAAAGTGAACAGTTTCCTGACTATGGAGTCTGAGAACTATGAAGGCACCATGGGTATTGTTCTGAATATTATGGTGTTTCACCTAAATCGTTACTTAAGAATATTAGTTGTGTGTCAGGCACATTGTCATTTTTGCTTTTGTTTTCCATTTCAATAGCCAGAGAATGCTCTCTCATCTTGACTTTGCCTGATAAGGTCCAACTGCATCTGAAAAAGATGTGATTATTTAGGCCTGAAAAAATCTTAGATACAACCAGAGTCCAAATAGATGTACCTAGTAATATTTAGAGAGAAATTATAAAGACACTTGCTTCCCAGGTGGCATAGTGGTAAAGAATCCGCCTGCCAATGCAGAAGCCTCTGGAGGCTTGGGTTCAATCCCTGGGTCGGGAAGATTCCCTGGAGAAGGAACTGGCAACCCACTCCAGTATTCTTGCCTGGAAAATCCCATGGACACAGGAGTCTAACAAGCTGCAGTCCACGGGGTCACAAAGAGTCAGTCACGAATAAGCACACATGCAATGGCATAAGGATATTTGAACTTTATTATATTAATTACCAACCTCAACTATGAACTGTTGTATTCTTTTTCTCAAGAGCTTTTTAATTTAGATGCCAAGGAGTTTAGATCTTAAAATAACCAAGATTCTTAGCCTTGCTAGGATAAAACTGGCAGGAAATTCAATACTGAGGGCAGAATAATCTTCCTTAATTACAAATCTCATGCTTAATATGCATTCTGTTGCCTAAATCCTTCAATACCTCTTCAGCTCTTTAAGGACATGCAACCATTCATTAGTCAATCCTTCCTCACCTATCTAGTCTCATCTTTCATCATCCACCTACATACTTTTCACTCTGGCCATATCAACATGCTATGCTTTCTTTTTATCTTTGTTCTTCTCTCTCTCTCTCTCTCTCTCTCTCTCTCCACATATATATATAAACAAATATATATATATGAAACAAATTTCCCCACCTCTTATCCTTTAAGATTCATCTCAGGCACCATCTCCTCTTGAAACCCTGCTGGAACTGCTGGGCTGCTCCCAGAGCACCTCTGCTCAGCCTCCGTCCTGGGATTCCGCATGCAGTCCTATGGGGCTAACTCACATGCATGCGGTCCCCTGGGATGCACTGATCACCTTGAGCCATGTCTTCCCTCTCAGCTCCCTTCATAACCCCTCTCACATCTGAATCACTCAAATGTTTGAGGACTAGCTGACTGAACAAATGAATTCATTGACAGATGAACCACCGGGAATAGAATTGAGCAATAAAGTGCTGAGAGACGTGATGCCCGTTAATGCTCCAAAACAAACACACAAAAACTATTTTTAAAGCTCTTAATCAAGAGACCTTTACTCTGAATGTAATGTTAATTAAAAGAAAAAAAACCGTATGGGAATTCCCTAGTGGGCCAGTGGTTAGAGCTCAATGCTCTCACTGCCAAGGGCCAGGGTTCAATCCCTGTTTGGGGACCTAAGATCTTGCAAGCCACGCAATGCAGCCAAAATCCAAATAAATAAATATAATCTTTTAATTAAAGAAATTTTAAACCCAGAAGTAGGCTTAGTATGACCTTAAATTTAGAAAACAATTATTATGTGTGTATGTATAAATGTATATAAGTATGTGTGCTTTTCTTTCTACCTCCTTCTGTGTCTCTCTGTCTCTGTCTCTTCTTCTACTCCATCTCCATCCTCCAGATCCTTCTCAAGTTCCAGAACATTGGCCTCAGGAGGGGGAGATCAAGATTCATGATCTGTGTGTCAGATATGAAAATAACCTAAAGCCTGTTCTTAAGCATGTAAAGGCTTACATCAAACCTGGGCAGAAGGTATGGAGTTTACTGTCATTTGATTTAATTCATACAGAACCTCAGATGGAACCACCCCATTACCACTTGAGCTCCTTAGACATGCCAGTCAAGGATCTTCTCACTGGGCTGCCATTATATTCCTTACACTTTATAGGTCAAATTATGTGCATAAAAGAGAAAAGGGAGAGAGTGGATCCAGATAAAGTATACGTTCTCTAAACTGTATTGCCATTCATTCATCTCCCATGATGATCAGAAAAGTGAACAATAGGCATGTTTTTCAAAATTTCTAGCTTTTGGCTCATGCCCATTCCAGATGTCCCCTTGAGAACCTTTGTGTTTTTACTAGCTCTGGCCCCACAATGATTTATTTTAGTTATTGTAAAAAGATCAAGTGTGCAGAAAAATGGACTCATTTTACTTTTTGTTACATAATAAAATCATCACTTCTGAGACAAAGTGGAGTACTTGTTTATTAGGTCAATGATATACTAAATGGAAAAATGAAGCCACAGAGGTAAAAAACACAACCATATAGAATTAAAAAAGAGTCCTAGTGGAATCATTGAAGATTTGAAGACCCTGTGTTATCTTAATAATGATAACTCAGAAGGGAGACCTGAGAAGAGAACAACAATTTTAATGTAACTGTTTAAATAGAGTTGCAGTTTTATCATGGTGTCTTATCTAAGTTAAAAATGCTTTGCCTACTTTTTTATTTTGTCTGAGTCCTCTTCTCTCTGAGTGACAGTTGCTTTCTTAGGTGGGCATATGTGGTCGCACTGGCAGTGGGAAGTCATCATTATCTCTGGCTTTCTTCAGAATGGTGGATATATTTGATGGTGAGTTACTAACTAAACTTCTTTATTAGCCATGTGATACTCTCCCTTTAAAAAAAAAAATCTATGGGTTACAAAGAGTCTGTCATGACTGAGCAGGCATTACTACTGCTATAACTACTATTGTGTCCTACAGTCCATGATTTGAGGCAGGTATTCCAGATAAATAGGCTTCCTGGGTGGCTCAGTGGCAAAGAATTTTCCTGCCAATTCAAGGAGATGCAAGAGACATGGGTTTGATCCCTGATCCCCTGGAGGAGGAAATGGCAACCCACTCCAGTATTTTTGCCTGGAGAATCCCATGGGCAGAGGAGCTTGGCAGGCTGTAGTCTGCAGGGTCACAAAGAGTTGGACACAAATGAGCATTCACACATCCCAGATAAACAGTTTAGGAGTAAAGAAAAAAAAAAAGAACTGGAGAAATAAAATAATTAGCACTAAACTCAGCTCTAGAAATTATTGTTAAAGAATTTTGTTAAATTAGTAAAATAAAAACAAGGCCACTCATTATGAAGAACAGCAGATAGAAGTGGCATTTCAAGAAGGAAGAGAGAAAAAGACTGTCTAGTTTCCTGCAAACTAAAAGCACATTTCTTTCCATTAAAGGAAAAAAAGGAGATAAATAATCTGCATTTTAATTTTAGTGCATGACTCTTATTATCCTCTTCTTAATAACATGGTTTAATGATGTTGGATGTTTTGGGAGGAGGTGACCATTGCTAATAAAGTGCCAAGGACATGTTGACAATATACAAAAATATTTATTCATCTGCAAAATTATTAATAGTATCATACATGGAAGTAATCTAACATTTGTTTTAGAAAAAATATGTCACATTATTTAGTCTATTAAGTGACCTATAAATAGGCCAGCACATATGCCATCTTGACTGAAAGGGGAGCCATCAACTCAATAATTGCTTAAATATTATTATCTCTAATCATTGTGATAATAGTGATAGTACTTCACATTTTTATTATACTTGACAGGTTACATTATTTAATCTACACAACAACTCAGTGAAATAAAGGGGTCAGTTTATGAACAATGAAGTTGAACTCTGGTCATTGCAGGGTTTGGGACTTAGATTTAGCAAAGAGATAGCTATCCACCTCTAGATGAGCAGCTCGCTCTTTCCATGGCTGGTAATGATACACAGATCCTTTAAGGATTTTCTGTGGGATTTGCATTATAAGCCAATTACAAGATCCAAGACAATTGATTGAAATTTTTCATTAAAAAACTGTCACTATGATGGAACATATTAGATTAGCCATAGTCTCATGAGTTCAGAAACATCATTTCAGCCCCCAAGAGGACTATGATGACTGATTATCTTTTTAATACCATTAGGCAATTGAGATTTTAATAGATAATATATTACACCCAGAAGAAAGTTTAAGCTAATCACCTTACCTGCTCTTGAATCTAAATCCAGCAGAAAAGGGACTCTAATTGCCATCCTTCTCTTAGCATGCTTATCTCATAGAGCAATATTATCTTTGCACAAAACAAGATCATAAAATAAATCAATCAAGGTAAGGAAAAGTCATCAAGATTGCACACGTTCATGTACAGTGAAATTTACCAAGAGTTGATAGCTATAGAATTTACGATAGAATTTGCTTTCTTACTTGTACTGTACTGTACTCCTCAATCAATAAATGAGCAAAGAGACTTCTCTGATGGTGGTCTAGTGGTTAGAAGTAAACGTCCTCACCATTGTGGCTCAGGTTTGTTTCCTGGTCAGGGAAGCCTTTCTTCTTGGGGCTGCCCTGGTGGCTCAAATGGTAAAGAATCTGCCTGCAATGTCGGAGACCCAGGTTCTATCCCTGGATCAGGAAGATCCCCTGGAGAAGGGAATAGCAACCCACTCCAGTATTCTTGCCTGGAGAATTCCATGGACAGAGGAGGCTGGCAGGCCTCCTGCAAAGATTTGCAAAGAGGTGGACACGACTGAGCAACTAACATGGACAGTCCAGTGGTTAAGCATCTGAGCTTCCATTACAGAGGGCACAGATTCCGTCCCTAGTCAGGAAAATGAGATCCTGAATGTCACCTGGTGTGGCCAAAAAATAAATGAAAACAAATATTAAAAATAAATAAATATAACACAATATTGTTAATTAGCTATCCCCCACTACAAAGTAAAAAGATTTTTTAAATATATAAGTAAATAAATGAGTGAATAAGACAGACAAAAATGCCCATCTTTAATAACCTGATATTCTAGTTTGGGGAGAGTGCTATGCTTAGTCACTCAGTTGTGTCCGACTCTTTGTGACCCCATGGACTGTAGCCTGCCAGGCTTCTCTGTCCATGGGGATTTTCCAGGCAAGAATACTGGAGTGGGTTGCCGTGCCCTCCTCCCGGGGATCTTCCCAACCCAGGGATCGAACCCAGGTCTCCTGCATTACAGGTGGATTCTTTACTGTCTGAGCCACACGATTAAAAACATCTATGGTGGTGGTTTAGTCACTAAGTCGTGTCCAACTCTTTGCAACCCCATGGACTGTAGCCTGCCAGGCTCCTCTGTCCAGGGGATTTTCCAGATGAGAATGCTGGAGTGGGTTGCCATTTCGTTCTCCAGGGGATCTTCCTGATCCAGGGATTGAACCTGGGTCTCCTGCATTGCAGGTGGATTCTTTACCAACTGAGCTACCAGGGAAGCCCTCAAAAGATTAATAAATGTGTATAATAGAACATCCTATGAAGGAAAATAAAGCTGGGAACAGTATAAAGGAATATTGTAAAGAAGACCACTGAGGGAAAAGAGTACCTTTGGTTCATATGAACCATGTAAACAGTAAAAAGTAGAAATCCCTTTAGGAGAAAATATAATACATAAGAAAGAAAATATCACCAAAATGCCTGTTTTTCTTAGAGACATGTCATGATGTTTTTAATACTTACATGGAAAGCATCATCTTCTGAATTTCAATCCTGAACTAGGAAAGCACTTCCAATTGGTAAACAAATATTCTTTTACTTGTGGTTTTATTACAGGCCTGCCATTTTTGTTTTTCTTTAACAGGAAAGATTGTCATTGATGGGATAGACATTTCCAAACTGCCACTGCACACACTACGTTCTAGGCTTTCAATCATTCTGCAGGATCCCATACTCTTCAGCGGTTCTATTCGGTAGGTCATGCATTCAACAGAAACGCATGTGCCTCAGTATTTACCCTTTGGCTCATAGGAGGGTTTTACTCAGAGGTGCTTTTCAGGTAGGTGTGAAAGGTGGTCACCAGGATGATGAGGTGAGATGTTCTGTCCCACCGTTTGGATTAAGGCACTTAGAATGGCTGAATTAACCTAAAGAAGCCCACCCTTTGTTGATGTTGCTCAGTCGTTCAGTCATGTCTGACTCTTTGTGACCCCATGGACTGTAACACTCCAAGCTCCTTTGTCCTCCACTATCTCCCAGAGTTTTCTCAAATTCTAGTGCATTGAGTCGGTGACACCATCCAACTATTTCATCCTCTGCTGCCCTCTTCTCCTTTTGCCTGCAATCTTTCCAGCATCTGGGTCTTTTCCACTGAGTCAGCTCTTCACATCAGGTGACCAAAGTATTGGAGCTTCAGCATCAGTCCTTCCAATGAATATTCAGGGTTGATTTCTTTTAAGATTGCCTGGTTTGAGTTCCTTGCAGTCCAAGGGACTCTCAAGTGTCTTCTCTAGCACCACAATTTGAAAGCATCAGTTCTTCAGCACTCAGTTTTCTTTATGGTCCAACTCTCACATCTATACATGACTACTGGAAAAAACTATAGCTTTGACTTTGTTGGCGAAGTGATATCTCTGCTTTTTAATATGCTGTCTAGGTTTGTCATAGCTTTCCTTCCAAAAAGTAAATGTCTTTTAATTTCATGACTGCAGTCACCATCTGCAGTGATTTTTGGAGCCCAAGAAAATAAAATCTGCCACTGTTTCCCCATCTATTTGACATAAAGTGATGGGATCTTGGTTTTTTGAATGTTGAGATTTAGGCAAGCTTTTTCACTCTCCTCTTTTACCCTGATTAAGATGCTCTTTAGTTCCTTTTCACATTCTGCCATAATGGTGGTATCATCTGCACATCTGACATTGTTGACATTTTTCCCAATAGTCTTGATTCCAGCTTGTGATTCATCCAGTCCAGCATTTTGCATGATGTACTCTGCATGTCAGTTAAATAAGTAGAGTGACAATATACAGTCTTGACGTACTCCTTTCTCAGTTTTGAACAAATCCATTGTTCTGTGCCTGGTTCTACCTGTTGCTTCTTGACCTGCATACAGGTTTCTCAGGAGGCAGGTAAAGTAGTCTGGTATTCCTATCTTTTTAAGAATTTTTCCACAGTTTGTTGTGATCCACACAGTCAAAAGTTTTAGCATAGTCAATGAAGCAGATAAAGATATTTTTCTCAAATTCCCTTGCTTTCTCTATAATCCAGCGAATGTTGTCAATTTGATCTATGGTTCCTCTGCCTTTTCTAAATCCAGCTTGTACATCTGGAAGTTCTCAGTTTGTGTACTGTCAAAGCCTAACTTGAAGGATTTTGAGCATTACCTTGCTGGCATGTGAAATGAGCATAATTGTACAGAAGCTTGAACATTCTTTGGCATTGCCTTTCTTTGGGATTGAAATGAAAACTGAACTTTTCCAGTCCTGTGGTCATTGCTGAGTTTTCCAAATTTGCTGGCATATTGAGTGCAGCACTTTCATAGCATCATCTTTTAGGGCTTGAAATAGCTCAGCTGGAATTCCATCACCTCCACTAGCTTTGTTCATAGTAATACTTCCTAAGGCCCACTTAATTTCACACTCCAAGATGTCTGGCTCTATGTGAGTGACCATACCTTAGTGGTTATCTGAGTCATTAAGAATTTTTTTTGTAAAGTTCTTATGTGTATTCTTGCCACCTTTTCTCAATCTCTTCTGCTTCTGTTGGGTCCATACCGTTTCTGTCCTTTATTGTGCCCATCTTTGCATGAAATGTTCCCTTGGTATCTCTAATTTTCTTGAAGAGATCTCCAGTCTTTCCCATTCTATTGTTTTCCTCTAATTGTATTATTCACTTAAAAATGCTTCCTTATCTCTGCTTGCTGTTCTTTGGAACTCAGCATTCAGTTAAGTATATCTTCCCCTTTCTCCTTTTCCTTTCACTTACTTCATTTCTCAGCTATCTGTAAGGCCTCCTCAGATGACCATTTTGCCTTGCATTTGTTTCTTGGGGGTGATGTGGTCACAGTGTTACAAACTTCTGTCCATAGTTCTTCAGGCACTCTGTCTACCAGATCTAATCTCTTGAATCTCTTTGTCACTTGCACTATAAAATCATAAGGGATTTGATTTAGGTCATACCTAAATGGTCTAGTATTTTTCCCTGAAGAAGTGAGTGAAGTGAGTGAAAGTCGCCCAGTTGTGTCCAACTCTTTGTGACCCCATGAACTACACAGTCCATGGAATTCTCCAGGCCAGAATACTGGAGTGGGTAGCCTTTGCCTTCTCCAGGGGATCTTCCCAACCCAGGGATCAAACCCCGGTCTCTTGCACTGCAGGTGGATTCTTTACCAGCTGAGCCACAACAGAAGCCCAAGAATACTGGAATGGGTAGCCTATCCCTTCTCTAGTGGATCTTCCTGACCCAGGAATCGAACCGGGGTCTCCTGCATTGCAGGCGGATTCTTTACCAACTGAGCTATCAAGAAGACTTTCTTCAATTTAAGCCTGAATTTTGCAATAAGGAGTTCATGATCCGAGCCACATTGTAAAATTACTTCAGTTAAAACTTCTAGGTGTACCAGACAATTTAGCAATATGATAGGAATCTCCATCTCTGAATATATTTACTATGAATACTGTTTCTCTGGTTTGTACAGCATAACTCATCTGAAATAGCATTGTACATTTCCATATAGATCTATGTATTTAACATTAGTTCTGTAGGAATGATTAGCTAGATACTATTCAAGTTACACTGAACAAAATATGACTGACTTTACTCTGTGTAAGTCTCTAGGTCCATCAGTGTCTCTGGAAATGACACAATTTCATTCCTTTTTATGTCTGAGTAATAATCCATTGTGTATATGTGCCACATGTTCTTTATCTATTCCTTTGTTGATGGACATTTAGATTGCTTCCGTGTTCTGGATATTGTAAATAGTCCTTCAGTGAACATTGGGGTGCATGTATCTTTTGGAATTATGATTTTCTCTACTCAATTCTGTGTGGTGACCTAAATGGGAAGTTAATCTGAAAAAGAAGGGATATATACATATACATATACTTGATTCACTTTGCAGAATCTAACAACATTGTAAAGCAACTGTACTCCAATAAAAATTTTTTTTTAATAAAATAAATTTTAAAATATTTCTTAGAGATTTTCCCAAAAAATGTAATATGAAGGTGGATGAATCTAATTTAATGAATTTTATCAAATCATATCATTAATTCAAACTTACTAATTATGTCATCAGAAAACCATTGCTCATAAAATTCAGATCATTCATTCACCTAACAAGCATGAAGTGAATGCCTGTTCTATCCTAAAGCCCTGTTGTAGATTCTGGGCATACAGCAAGAGCCAAAACAAATAGGATTTCCATCTTTAGGGAAGAACAGCAATAAGCAAGCATACATTAAACAGTCATTTTTAAAATTTATTCACTAACTGATTTTTTTTCCTACAGATTTAACTTAGATCCAGAATGCAAATGCACAGATGACAGACTCTGGGAAGCTCTTGAAATTGCTCAGTTGAAGAACATGGTCAAATCCCTACCAGGAGGTCTAGGTATATTTTCTAAATGATGCATTTGTTTTTTTATATATGCAATGAATTCTGCATAGCTACATTTTATTCTAGAATTACATAGTTCTGGCACTAACGCTCCTTATATTTTTTTTGTTTATTTGTGGTGCCCCAGCTTCTCGTTGCAGTGCTTCTCTTGTGGAGTCTGGACTTCAGGGTGCGAGGACTTCCGTAGCCACAGCTGTCAGGCTCTAGAGCACAGGCTCAGTAGTTGTGGCGCATGGGCTTGGTTGCTCCATGGCATGTGGAAGCTTTCTAGATCCCTGATATGAATTCAGCCCCAGAGGTAGCATCAGTTCAGTTCAGTCACTCAGTCATGTCCTAGTCTTTGGGACCCCATGGACCACAGCACGCCAGGCCTCCCTGTCCATCACCAGCTCCCGGAGTCCACCCAAACCCATGTCCATTGAGTCAGTGATGCCATCTCATCCTCTGTCGTCCCCCTTCTTCTCCTGCTCTCAATCTTTCCCAGTATCAGGGTCCTTTCAAATGAGTCAGCTCTATGCATCAGTTGGCCAAAGTATTGGAGTTTCAGCTTCAACATCAGTCCAATGAACAGGACTGATCTCCTTTAGGATGGACTGGTTGGATCTCCTTGCAGTCCAAGGGACTCTCAAGAGTCTTCTCCAACACCACATTCAAAAGCATCAATTCTTCAGCTCTCAGCTTTCTTTATAGCCCAACTCTCACATGCATACATGACTACTGGAAAAACCATAGCCTTGACTAGACGGACCTTTGTTGGCAAAGTATTGTCTCTGCTTCTTAATATGCTGTCTAGGTTGGTCATAACTTTCCTTCCAAGGAGTAAGCGTTTTAATTTCATGGCTGCAGTCACCATCTGCAGTGATTTTGGAGCCCCAAAAAATAAAATCAGCCACTCTTTCCCTTGTTTCCCCATCTATTTGCCGTGTAGTATAATTTCTGGCAAATAATTGATGACAAAAACAAAAGAACAACATGAATAACAAAAGAAAAACATGATTAATGAAACAAGGGAGAGTTCATGATATAGTCTTTCATTCATGAAAGTGAACATCTGTAGTTTTGGACTTCTGTTTCCTTAAAATCTAAACTCATTTAAGAAAGCATCTGAAAGATAATGGTTGATATTCTAATTTTAATGCTTAATGTGTAGTTGCCAAATTATATTGTTGCCATCTAATTTTTTTTAATCAACCTACAGAATAAAATTATATTTATTTGTTAGCTTATTTGGGAAGTGGGGCCTACTCAAAAACAATACCTTTTATGATTATAATTCAGTCCAAAGGAAAAGACATCCACAACAAAGTGGAGACAGCATGTCTTTAAGGATAGTTTTATTGACCTTGCCAGTGTCAGACAATGGGAATAATTCCAGAGGTCTGGATGAACTTTCCCATAATAATTTTTGATGTCTTCTCTGGAAAGTCTAGCAAGCAGTTGAAAAATTGAAAAGTCTACTTGAGATAATGCTTGTAGATCTTTTTCCTCTAGTGATTTTCAGACTCTGCCCTTCCCCCATTAGTACTTGGAAAGATAATTATATCTATATAGTTCTCCTCACCAATATGAGACCTGAATGTACCTGTTTTGAATTGTGGGCATAGTATTTGGGAATTATGGGACAGTGTAAGCAACAAGGAATTATATTTATGCTCTGTAATTGAATGCTGTTTATGCTCATTGTCTTAATAAAGATTGCTTCAATGGTTTGGTAATGATCTGGTTCAGACCAGTTCTAGTGAAGAACATTCATCATTCCCTGCTTCCTTTTTATTTATTATATACATTAATATTTGGAGAATAGATGCACAGTCCCCAAGTATGAGAAATTATAAGAATTTGAAGCAGTAAGACAATAATCAATAGAAATTGCCCCTTGGAGCCCTACTACAATGTCTGTGAATCCTAATTAAGATCATCTTGGAAATAGAATTTAAGCTAAACTCACAGCAGTAGTTTATAAAATGTGGTTGAAAACCAAAAAAAGGAAACTATAATGAGGACATAATTCACTTATCCACGCAACAAGGTTTTCTATTCAGGTGCTATGTCAGATGTTCATTGATAAGTACTGGGGATTCATTAATAAGTCCTTACCGACTTGGAGCTTAGAGTCCAAGGGGATGATATAATGGAAAGAGAATAGGTATTGGAGTTGAGAATATTCTGTTTCTCACTAAGCTCTGCTACCAGTTATCTGTATGATCTTGAGCAAGTCACTTCCTTTCTCTGGGCCTTGGATAATTACATCAGATAATTAAATCATCTTGAAGGTCTTCCAGTCTTTAAAATGTTTAACAGCATTTTATGTCCTACTATAAGGAGACAATTTACCACCTATTGTCAAACATAAGATGGCCCAGGATCATCTTCATTTTCCCCAAGTAAAGTTCTTCTTTGCTTTTTCCAAAAGGAAATCCTTGCACCAGTACAAAGTGATGTCAATAGGTTTTTCTAGGACATCATGTGTTTTCCGCTATGTTGCCTAAAGGAAGTGTTAATATCATTTCTTTAGTGAAGTCCTTGCTTTTTTTTTTTTTCATTTAGATGCAGTTGTCACTGAAGGTGGGGAGAATTTTAGCGTTGGACAGAGACAGCTGTTCTGCCTTGCCAGGGCCTTTGTCCGCAAAAGCAGTATTCTCATCATGGATGAAGCAACAGCTTCCATTGACATGGCCACAGTGAGTGCATCATCTAAGCTGCTTTCAAATGATGAGTCGAAGAAATGCATGCAAAAATTACAATTTATTTTTCCTGACTGCGTTCTGAATATCCTCAGGACTATTTTTTTCAGTGTCTTCTCAACTACCTCCTTGGTCAACTAGTGGTATAGCACGTTGAGAATTTCAGTAAAGTAGACTTGACTCTTGTTTTAAAGAAGCTCCTGTTGTCCAATAAGCATTAAATAAATTTGCCACTTTTTGATTAATCCTCAAGAGAGTAAAATTCCAGGGCTCAGTTGATGAGACTGCTGTCCTGTATTCAAGTATTCAGGTATGTTGCCATGGAAGTTCTAAAATGAAATATGCAAATCACTGTTTAATAGAATCTATTGATAATCAAAACCAATCATTTTCTAATTGAATTTGAAGAGGGATTCACTAAATTAATACTGGCTAGAATTAATAATGGCCCTCTCAATGTATTGATGGTAATAAGGCAGAAACTTTGCCTTTTGAAAGAGATCATTTAAAAGTGTCAAATAAGGGGAGGGATAAATTAGGAGTTTAGGATTAACATATACACACTACTATATATAAAATAGATAATCAAAAAGGACCTACTGTATAGCACAGGGAACTGTACTCAATATTCTGTAACAACCTAAAAAGGGAAAATATCTGAAAAAGAATGGATATATGTATATATATATAACTGAATCACTTAGCTGTATACTTGAAACTAACACATTACAAATCAACTGTACTCCAATATAAAATGAAAGTTAAAATCTTAAAAAACATCAAATATGTCCAAGAAGTATCTGTGTGAAGGTTGTGACTGAGTGGGGAAAATGTCACATTGAACTGCAAATGTTATGAGATATCTATTAATGTTGTTCTTATAAAAGTGAACTTGATATTAAAAGTTTGGCATCAGAAAGGACAAAAAAATCCCATTTCTTTTCTTGCTGTATACTTTAGATTGAATAAAACTATGCAGAAAGATGAAACAGCTTCAAGATTATTAAGAGCCAATTATATATGGAGATGTTAATTTGACATCATTTCTTTGTATTGTTGCTGTTGTTGTTCAGTCACTAAGTTGTGTCCGACTCTTTGTGATCCCATGAACTGCAGCACGCCAGGCTTCCTTTCTTTGTATTAAGACTAATTAGTTAAACTGGGCTTCCCTGGTGGCTCAGTGGTAAAGAATCCGCCTGCAATGAAGAGACAAAAGACACGGGTTTGATCCCTGGGTAGAGAAGATCCCCTGGAGGAGGAAAGGGCAACCCACTCCAGTATTCTTGCCTGGAAAATCACATGGAGAGAAAGAGGCTGGTGGGCTACAGCCCATAGGGTCGCAAAGAATCAGACCGAGCAACCGAGCATAGAGCGCAGTCAGTTAAAGTATCTATACAAAGTTATAAATCTTCTCCAAGTTAAGATAATTTAAAGCAATGAAGTTGTTTCTAATGAAGCCATTTTGCTAAATCTAACTACATTAAAATTAGTTTTAATTACTAAGTTCTTATAACATTGTGGGTTATTATAAGGATAGTACTGCCTCAACAGAAACAAGAGAGAGAGAGAAAAGGGGAGAATAAGAATGAATTAATTGGCAATAAGTCATGTGATTGGAAGAAATAACAACTTCACATAAAGACTTCAGTAACTGAGCCTTTTTATTGAGGAGAGAGGAAGAATATTTACCCCTGATATCTTTTAAAATATAATAACAATTTGGACCATAAAGAAGGCTGAGTACTGAAGAATTAATGTTTTCAAACTGTGGTGCTAGAGAAAACTCTTGAGAGTCCTTTGGACAGCAAGGACATCAAACCAGTCAATCCTAAAGGAAATCACCCCTGAATATTCATTGGAAGGACTGACGCTGAAGCTCCAATATTTTGGCCACCGGATGTGAAGAGCCACGTCATTGGAAAAGACCCCAATGCTGGGAAAGATGGAGAGCAAGAGGAGAAGGGGACGACAGAATATGAGATAGTTGAATGGCATCACTGACTCAATAGACATGAGTCTGAGCAAACTCAGGGAGATAGTGAAGGACAGGAAGCCTGGCATGCTGCAGTTCATGGGGTCGCAGAGTCAGACGTGACTTGGCGACTGAACAACAACAATGGTTTGTGGTGGGAATAAAAATAGTTCCTGCCAGGAATGTACTTTTATGGGTCAAAATCCAAATTTTTGGCATGTATTTTATTTTCTCCTTTTCTGACCCCAAACTTAACACTGTTTTAGGGTTTTATTAGTTTTGAATACATCCTTTTTGTGGCATAACCTTAAGTGAGCATTTCCCCACCCATTTGGTTTCATTTTCCTCATTCATTTTCCTGGCACTAAATCTATCAGTCATTCCTAGTTAATCAGCTGAGTTTTCTTTGCATTTTGAAGACACTGCAGAACCCAGCCTGAGCTCCCTGCTGGGCACTGCTCCCTGTTAGACCTTCTGCAAAAGATAGGAGTGAGAATTCTCAGAAGAGATTGGGCATGTTGAAGCATTGTTCTTGGGGACAAAATACTTTGGCAACGGAAAGGAGTCCAGAGAAAATTCAGACTCTATTTTTATTTTTTGGCAGGAAAACATTTTGCAGAAAGTGGTCATGACGGCTTTTGCAGATCGCACCGTTGTTACAATAGCTGTAAGTATAGGAGACAATGTTGATTTACTCCTCTTTGGTTGATTTTTGAAGATTCAGTATTCTTTATTTGGGGGCAATTAAAAGTATACTTATGTTAAATCATGTATTTCTCTGCTAATATTTCTGTATCTGTGCAAAAAAAAGAAAAAAAATTGCCATGCTTTGAAAGCCGTTACACTGTTTTTTCCCCAAGCTGTCTGCTCTACTTTCCTCTCCTAGTTCACAATGAAAGAGCATTCTAAATTTCAGAATTCCAGCAGGTCATGGCCTGTACTATTTCACCAGATATAGACGGTAGTTCATATGGGATCATTCTTGTTTGAATAATCGAATTGTCTGATGATCAGTTTCAGAAGCAAAATTCATCAGTTTGATTGCTGATACTATTTACGCTTAATTTCTGTGTTCCTGTTTACTCAGCTGTTTGCAAGAAGAAGTCCGTGAGTTACCAGCAGATACATTCTCTGATTTTTAGATAGCCCCGATCAAATTGAAGACTTGCTTAAGTGTTTGCAATGCTCATTACAAGTTACTGCAAAGAGGCCATGGTTTTGTCTCTGCCTCTTTGCAGATGGATGGGTTCTTACTGACAGGCTTAAAATTTAACAAGAGTCTTTTTAAAATGAATTGCTTGGACATTTCCCTCTTGCTGATTCTCTTCTCTCCTTTCCATTTTTCTTTTCTCTCCAGCACCGTGTCTCTTCTATTTTGGATGCAGGCCTTGTGTTAGTCTTATCTGAGGGTATATTAGTAGAGTGTGATACTGTTCCAAACTTGCTTGCTATCAAGAATGGCCTCTTTTCCACTTTGGTGATGACCAACAAGTAAACATCAGGAGCTACCCTGCCAAGTATCCCATTCTCTGGTAGTTATCTTAGCCACCTCCCCCACAGTAAGGCAAGAAGAATGCAGATTAAAGGGGAGGGATGGGGGAGGGAACTAACTACAAGGTGTTATTATACAAATCAGCTCAACTGGGTGCTTCTGTTGTGCTCAATACCAATGAGGCATTTGCATATATTTTCAAATGTATCAATGCACCAGAGAGAGTGGTCTGGCAGAAAGTGGCCTTGACAGCTTTTGCAGACCACATCATTGTTACAATAGCTGTAAGTATGAGAGAAAACCTGTACCCAGATTTACCTCTGTCCTAAGGACCAATTTCACTATTCCTTGGAGATGTTCTGTAACTGTCCTTAAAGTACCAAACACATTCCTTACCTGCCCTGAAGAATGCCTTGCTCAATAATTAAGTTTTTAACAGTTGAGTCATAGGAGTTATGTGTGAAGTGCTCGCTTGTTCTTCTGGTTTTGTGAATGATGCATGGGAGAAAGTATACCCTTAGGACTTCCCTGGTGGTCCAGTGGCTAAGACTCCATGCTCCAAATGCAGGGGACCCAGGTTCAATCCCCAGTCTGGGAACTAGATCCCATATTCTGCAACTAAGAGTTTGCATGCCACCACTAAAGATTTAGTGTTCTGCAGTGAAGGTCAAAGATCTTGCCTGCTGCATCACAGACCCAGTGCAGCCAAACAAATAAATAAAAACATTAAAAAAGAAAGAGCACCCTTGAAGTGCAGCTTTCTCAAGGTAGCTGGAAATGATTCCCCATCAGGGCTCTCCTTCTGTAAACTGGGCCTAAGTAAAGAGATAGCACTTTCTTTTACTTTCCCAGTGAATTCTCTGATTCCTTCTGCCCTGGAGTTGCCTACAGGGAGACTTGAGAAAATTGGCTAACTTGAAAAACAATTTTATAACATTTTCAAGAATTTTCTCACTGGAGAGATGAGGAGAAAGAGCTTCCTGTTCCCCTTAAAAAGGCAGGTTAAAAGGGGGGAAAGCAGACCCTTGCCTACTCCAAAGACTATTTTTATCTGCTTTGCATGAAGCATGGTACTGATGGGTGGTCCCATTTAGTTGACAGCTGGAAGATTTCTTGAGCATAATTTGTATATTTTCACCAAAAAATTATGTTATCTCACCTGATTTCTGCTTTTCTACATTCACTGAATACTTTTCTGTTTACTTGTATGTCTTTCACCCATTCTTCATTTCAAGACCACCCAGTGTGGAGGTGGCCACCAGGATACCAAGAGCTCTTTCCCCAGACACAGAAAATTGTGGGAAAGGACCAAATGCTGTGGGCCCAGCTCCTTTTACCAGGCTCATAAGAGGGAGAGCCAACTTGTGGTACATCCCTTGTATAATACTCCTCAACTCTGTTAAAAGCTTCATCAGCTCTGTTGGGCTTTCCTGGTGGCTCAGTGGAAAAGAATCCACCTGCCAATGCAAGAGATGTGGGTTCCATCCCTGGGTTGGGAAGATCCCCTAGAGAAGGAAATGGGAACCCATTCCAGTATTCTCACCTGGGAACTCCTATGGACAGAGGAGCCTGGTGAGCACAGTCAGTGGGGTTACAAGAGTCAGTCATGACTTAGCAGCTAAATAACAACAACTATTAAGAGTAATTGGGGCTTTGCTGGTGGTCCATCAGTTAAAACACTGACTTCTAACAAAGAGGGCACAGGTTCGATCCCTGGTCAGGAAGCTGTGATCCCACACACTGTGTGGTGCAGCCAATAAATAAATAAATGAATTTATTAAGATTAACTATTTTTCCTTCCCTGATAAAAGTTGTTCTGTTACTTTTGTTAACTGCCACTGAAAATTGTGGAATAACTTTAGAAGATAACTTTCTCAGGTTTCTAAAAATAAGTCCTCATGCCCCCAAATAGTGAGTGTCGTTTTTTAATGGAAGTAATCTATACTTCAGTCTTGTTGAGGTTTATTTCTCTGGAGCATTTTGAAAATTTCACCAATGCTATGGCAGTTGACACTTTGTCAAGCAGAAATTAATTTGGAGTAATGGAATAAACACTAGATATATTTACTTCTATAGGCCAAGTTTTTCAACATTTTAAAAAATAAGCAACATTTTAGAATATCAAGGCAATATTTATAATATCCTACTTATGGGTTTGAAAGCTAAGTTTTTAAAAATATCTGTAATATGGTTGTTGAAGAGCTAATTTTTTGAAGGAAATGAACAGCGGACATTAAACAGCTCATTAAGTTTATTTTTTTCTAAATGCCTAGAGATGCAAGGGGCTCTGGCCCTTTCTTAAAGATAAAAATTGTCTTTTAAAGTGTGATATCTTAAATGTATACCATTGTTTGTCACTCAGTCATGTCCAACCCTTTGCAACCCAATGGATTGTAGTCTGTAGCCCGCCAGGCTCCTCTGTCCGTGGAATTCTCCAGGTGAGAATACTGGAGTGGGTAGCCTTCTCTAGGGGATCTTCCCCACCCAAGAATCAAACCCAGGTCTCCTGCATTGTAGAAAGTTTCTTTACCATCTGAGCCACCAGGGAAGTCCATTAATTACCAGTATTTAGTGAATGATACAGGTTTGTCTATGGATGTTGAAACTAGTGGTGCATGTTCTAAGCTGGCATCTTTATCACACTCCATATATGTGCTGCTTTGCCCCTTAGTTGTGAGTTCCAACCAAGACTGCTTGCTTTTCTGAAAGCACGAACACTGAGTCTACCCCGTCTTCAGGTCCAGGGCAAGGGATAAGCTTTTGCTTTGGGGACCACCCTAGGTTGAACTTTGGGTTGTTACTAACGTACATTACTAAAACAAATTCCACCTGTTTATTTGTGCTTGTAAAATATGGCTCCTAAGAGATTTGAAATTACATGTGCCGCCTATTTGTGGCTCACATTATATTTCTATTGGACAGCACTTCACTTAGCAAGAGTAGCGAAAAGGCTCACTGCAAAGACAAAGTGCTGAATTATTTTTTCATGCATTATCTCATTTGATCCTCACCACCATTCCCCAGCCATCATTTTACTGATGTGAAAGTTAAGGCATACGAAAGTTAAGTTTGTTGCTCAAGATTGCACAGCTAACAGGTGGGGAAACCAAAACATGAATCCATTCTGACTTCGGAGCTTGCCTTCTTAACCATGACGCTAATAATGACAGGTGAACAACCCTCTGAAGGACCAGATTCTCCCAGCAAAACATCTTATGGCAGAGTAGAAGTAGCTCCGAAGTGAATGAGCCTGGTTTGGATGTTGATTCTGCTACTTACTATCTGTATGATCTGATTTTGCTTTATTTATTATGAACCCCAGTGGTCTCGCCCATAAAGTGGAGACATTAACACCCACATTTGTGGAATGTTCTGATGATTAACAAGTATGCGTGCAGAGTAGCTAATGTATAATATATGTTCAGGAAGTGGTAATTTTTATTATGATTAATTACTAGCACTAGAGCTTCTTTCCAAAAGGTACCATGTGGGAAGAGAAAATGACTGAGTGGGTGGCAGTGATCTCTAAAGACAAAAAGACAGCATGCCGACCTAAAGTCTTGGATAATACCTTTTAACACTGCATGCCAGAATGGACTTCCCCATATGGTTTTCTCAGAATTAAACCACCTTCCGGGGTTCTTCAAATTGTGTGTTATCCCAGGGAATTAGTTGACTTTACTAAAAAGCTACTTTTAGTCTAGACTAAACTATAACCAAACTGGTTCACAGTGACTCTTCTTATCATTTAATTATTTGACAAACATTTGTTATCCTATTCACAATTCCATGAAAACGATGAAACTACTATATTAGGTACACTCAATCTAATACAGCCTATATAATACCCAGTCATACTGGCTGGTGTTTAAAAGTATGTAAATAAATCATACTTTACATAAGAAAGAAAAAGAAGGGCTGTGCCCAAGATAAAGAAATGCCCTTATATAAACAGTGAAATATGCATTTTCCATTGCTTTGGCTGGTGCCCTGAAATTTATAACGAATACATTTATTCTTTTCTCACTCACAGCATCGGGTTCACACTATTCTGACGGCAGACCTAGTTATTGTGATGAAGCGAGGAAATATTTTAGAATATGACACTCCAGAAAGTCTCTTGGCCCGGGAAGATGGAGTATTCGCTTCTTTTGTTCGTGCAGACATGTGACGGAATGTCTTAAAATCATGCTTGTATTTAAAACAATGCTCTCATAACCTACTTAATGGATCATCAGGTTGGCCTTTGGAAAGTGGCATCTTAAACTTTTACACACTTTTGTGAAGTTTAATTGTTATGTTGTGGAATTTGTAATTAGTAACAATATCACTGTACCAGTGAATATTGCATTTCCTATGTTGATGTTTCTTCTTCCTGTTTTCTTTGTTTTGCTTTGTTTTCTAATCTGTGACTGCTTATTATGTTCATTACTGATGTTTTTCTAAAGATTAAGCCACATTATCTTTCAGAATAACAGATTGTATTCAAACAAGTAAGCTACTCTAAGTGGTAAATCAACTACTCTGCTTAATTCTGGAAAATATCTCTCAAGCATAGAAGTTACAATTAGCATTCAGTATTATTTTACTCTTATTTGTAAGAATATATTTCCTTTTTTGTTGGTGTTTCCAGATATTATTGGAAGAAATTAAAAGGAGGACAGGTTTTCTAATCAGTTAGAAAATGAAACACTCAAATTCATTATTTACTGTCTGAGAATATGTCCTATATTCATCAACATTAATAACACTGACATTTCTTATAGAAGTCTCTTCTTTTTCATCTAAATTGTTTCTGGTCACCAAGACTAGAAGTTATTATTACATTTATAATAACTCTGTAAATCTAAAACCTTCATTAGAAGGATCATAAGAGTTTGAAATTTTGACAAATTATACCCAAGGTTCCATTTTTCCTTATCTAGTAAGAGGAGGGTTCTTAAGATATCGAGCATAATGTGCTTTTCCAGACTGAAGTTCAAAAAGTAATAAGGCTCAACTCTTCAGTGACAGGTCACTACAGCTTTCCATGGTTTAATTAATCATTAGATGTGTTTATGATCCTCAGGCCCTAAAATTCCACATTATTCAAGACTGGAGAGCATAAGCAAGTGGCCTTATTTTCACAGGATATATCTATACAAACATACATACATATATAAACATAGGTAGACATACAAATATATGTAAAACATGTGTCCATTTCTAGGTGGAAGAATGCCTATTTCTTTTAAACAGTTATGCCCAGTGGTGTAACACAGGTATATATTTGCTCCTGCTCTAATTTTAATGTACATGTAAAGACTGTATCAAAATTTTATTCTGATTTTAATGTGCATATTCAAGGTGCATCAAAATTTATGAGATATTAGTGTCATGCTTTCTTAAATGTAAATTAATAAACTGAAAAAACACTAAAAGTTACTTTCACTGTCATGCTAGCAGCCAAAGATTTATACTGCAGTTTTGTACATTTGATACATTTGTATCAATATTGATTTTCATGTGAGGGTCTATGTGCATTGTAAGGTTTTGAAGAATTATAACTGATGGAAAAAGAGAATGTAAGCTCCCTTTCTATAGTTCCTATGTTCAGTTTATTGTATTGTGTATTCATGCTTGGAAAATTTGTATACTTACTCATGCAGAACTTATGCCTGGGCCTTCACCTGAATTTAGAGTCTTGATGTTTACCTAAAATAAGTTTCACAAGGATGGACAAAAGTGTTCTATGTTACTTAGTACAAACTGTCAACTCGTTAGATATATAAAACTTCATTAGGAGAAAAATCCTCTTAATTCTTCCCTGAAAGTTAAACAGAACAGAATCAATAACTGTTGATTTGATCTTCAAAATATTTTCTAAATGTTCCACCAACCTACTCAAAGTGTTTCTGGCATGCAAATGCTTTGTAAGGTTGAATTTACACAGTGTTTTTTTTACCAAGTTATATATTCGGTATCACAGAGAAAGGGCTTCCCAGGTGGCAATAGTGGTAAAGAATATACCTGCCTAGGCAGGAGACTTAAGAGATGCGGGTTCAATCCCTGGGTTGGGAAGATCCCCTGGAGGAGGGCATGGCAACACACTCCAGTGTTCTTACCTGGAGAATCCATGGACAGAGGGGCCTGGTGGGCCATGATCTATCAGGTCACAAAGAGTCGGACACGACTGAAGCTTCTTAGCACCCACACACAACAAGAGAAATGAGGATTTACCCACTGAAATAATCCCTCATGATACCTGTAAATATTCTACTGCTATCCAGTCAGTGTCAGCAGAAGCATATCTAATTACACTAAACAGAAAATCACATTTACCATTTTTACAACTCAGTGGTCATTGGTTTCCTCATAACTTGCAGTCACTTGAGTGTTTAATTGTTTACAAAACTAAATTGACTGCATAAAGTCAAGGATGATCTCTTAAGTTGTTTAATCATGTATTGTGTTATATGTATGATCTATTGAATATGGAAATGATTCATCTTGAGATAATTTTTAATTAAATAGATATATATCTATAAAAGAAGACCAGCCTTTACCTAATCAAATTTCACATCACAAATTTTACATTTAATTAACCAAATCATTTTTACCAATTTTAATTCCTTAATATTTGTGAAGAGCAACAAATACCTAAAGCTTTGTATGGAAATAGGTTACTGATAATGTTAAGAGAGAAAAACATTCTTCTCTTAAAGGACTGTGCACCCTCTACTTTTAAGTGCTCCTTGTGATCAATTTAAAAGCCAACTTTGCTCTAGATTAGATAGATAAGAGAAGATCCTCCTAAGTAACTGATTCTTGAGGTCTGGGACCATGTCTTATTTGTCTCTGTGCCCTTGGCATATAATACAAGTACCTGAACCACAGCAGGCCCTAATAAGGATAGTTGATTGGTCCATTGATTAATTTTACCACTAGCCATGTGCCTATAACTTTTCACTGTCTGTGTTGTGTTTCTTCTACTATGAACATATGCTGCTTTGGTATTATATAATAAATTACTTTTTTTGTTTGCTTAATTAAAAAGGATGATTATTTTTTTACTTACAGTACCATTGGGCATCAACCAGGACTGATCAACAGATGTAAATTAATACAAGTTGACAAGACAGTACTTGATTATGCTTTGACGGTTTTTTTTCACACCTGTCACAGTCATAGACTCAGTTTTATATATATAGGCTTTTGGGAAGTTTTCATTAAGTGGAACAACTATATCTATAAATTTTGTTACATCTCTAATTAAATAGTTGGATGTCTATAAACCTTCTCCAAGGTTTATTGATTAGTCTTTATGGTTATCTTCCAATATATGTTAAATGACTATTTTGTACTCCATTCTTTGGAGGTCTATGATTTATAATATTTTAATATTCCCTAATTAATCCCTTATCCAAAGTTAAATGCGATCTTCTAATCTTAGCCTTTGATAATAAGAAACTGTAGCCAAAAGGCTATATTCTGTAACTTGAGTTTAATTTTTTTCTTTAGTAACTACACATCATTTTCAAGATTTGCTCAGGCATTAGTAAGATTCCTCTAGCTCAAACTCCCCAGTGAAAGGGTTTATACCTGTATTTCTAGCAAATGCTTCCAGATGAGATTCGTAATTAGCCAGGTTTGGGAATCATCAGTCTACCTTGGTCACCACTCTTATTTCTTTTTATTGTGCATAATGTGGGGCTATAAAATGCTGGAGGTGATATTCACTTGCTTCCTAGCTTTGCTGACATGAACCTATCCTAGACTGCCAGAACAAACCTCTTGGTGTCATTGAATCAACTGCCTTAGTTCCGTCATAAAGGAAACAGTGAAATGAACTGAATCTCAGCTGAGAAGATATAAACAGGGATTCTGAACACTGTTTTACTTTGTGTTGTAGTTTAATCAACAATGTGTGATCTAAAGGGGAATTTTTTGGAAAAGAGGCAAGCTTTTTTTACCCACATCTGAATTCCCTGTTGAGTTATTTGCATGTTACCCTATTGAGTTTGAATTTATGTTTTCAAATGTTTCTAGTGTGTAAATGTGAGCAGTTTAGGTTTCACTATTGATGTTTCACAATGTGGAAGGATGGCAAATTACCTGTGATGACTATTCCCCTTGCCACCTTCACATTTTTCCTGTTGGTATCATCATCACTGACATATGAAAGTTGATATATTAATTCTACATATTCACTACATGAGATTTAAATTCTTTTTCTTTTTCTATGGGCTGGAGCTCATTTCCCTTAGTCATTTACACTATGGTCACCAATGCCCTTGCTAAATTGACAAAGATCAAGGGAGCCATACCTGGCTAAATAAGTTAATTGGCTCCAAGAGAAAAGCTTTCTGTGATCTCAGTGCTATCAGCCATCACAGACCATCTCAAATATACGCTGCACATTAATGGCAAAAAGCATTGCTTTCAGATGGTGATTTCTATTGCTTAATCTGCCCTTGGCATAAAATAAGTAGCTTGTCCGTAAAACAACAGTACAACACTGGCTAATGCTGCTTTGTTTGCATTTTTCCCTTAGACAGGGCTACAGTATGTGCTATTTATACACATTATCAGTTTTAATTAACTGAAAGACTATTGACCTTTAGTATTATCAGGGCCATGTGGATTTAGGCCAACAGTTTCATATCTAAGTATTTGCACTTTGACTAATAGTAGTTGGAACTTTGTTCCAATGCTACTTAAGCAAAGAGCATGCTTCCTTGATAGCTCAGCTGGTAAAAAAAAAAGTCGCTCAGTTTTGTCCGACTCTTTGCAACACCATGGACTGTAGCCCACCAGGCTCCTCCATCCATGGGATTTCCCAATCAAGAATACTGGAGTGGGTTACCATTTCTTTCTCCAGGGGATCTTCCTGACCCAGGGATCGAACCCGGGTCTCCCACATTGCAGGCAGACACTTTAACCTCTGAGCCACCAGGGAAGCCCTAATAGTAGTTGGAGCTTTGTTCCAATGCTACTTAAGCCAAGAGATGCTTCCTTGATAGCTCAGCTGGTAAAAAAAATCCGCCTGCAATGCAGGAGACTCCAGTTTGGTTCCTGGGTCAGGAAGATCCCCTGGAGAAGGGATAGCCTACCCACTGCAGTATTCTTGGGCTTCCCTGGTAGCTCAGATGGTAAAGAATCTGCCTGCAATGTGGGAGACCTGGTTCAATCCTTGGGTTGGGAAGATCCCCTGGAAAAGGGAATGGCAACCCACCCTAGTATTCTTGCCTGGAGAATTCCCCAGACTACAGTCCATGGGGGTCACAAAAAGTTGGACATGACTGAGTGACTTTCATAATTTTTTTAAAAATTCCTAATCTCTTTCTTTCAGATACCCAAAATATTCATCAATCCTTTGAAAGCAGGCATAAATAGAATCCATCAACGAAGTTTACTGTTAACCCTTTTTCACAGGTTACAATCTATCTCCTGACCTCTCAGTGTGGCTGGGTGCTCCCTTCCACACACAAACATCTGAGTATGTACATTCACATCTATCTTAACTGCCTTAAAGAAGTGTATAGTTGCTATAAATTTTTACAACACATATTAACATGATGCATATGTAAGTCAAATACAAGTGTTTAGAATGGATGGCAGAAAGATGCTTATAATTATAATAGTCTGTAAGTGTTTCTTCTAGACAAAAGAGTCACCTTTAGGAATAAGTTTTTGATAAATTGTGGGATGTATTTCCACACTTGGTCTTAGCCAAAAGGCTGAAAAGAAGTGATAATAAAATGCATTTTCAGTGATAAGAAGTTCAACCCATATTTTCTACCAGTTTTTAAGATAACAGTGGCAATACATTGCTGAGTTATAGTGGGCAGGTTCTTTTTAGTTCAACAAAGGGATGATCATAATTGTTATTGGGACTTCTCTGGCAGTCCAGTGGTTAAGTCTCCAGGCTTTCACTGCAGAAGGTCATGGGTTCAGTCTCTGGTTGGGGAACCAGGATTCCATATGCCATATCATGTGGTCAAAAACTTTTTCTAAATAAATAAATAAAACAATTTTTATGAAAGCTAGTGAACTGGGCATTTTTGAAAGATGGTTGTCCCCCTACTAAAGGAGGTTGCATGAAAATAAACTTCAGTTATTTCATCTTGATTGATGGCATTTGTTTAGTGTCTGCTAAGTGTCACTTTTGAGTGATAAAGTGTGATTCAGAAAGATTATTTGTCAGAGTAGTACAAAGCTTTCTAGTATATTAAAACTAGTATAAAATCTTCTGAAATAACTATTTTCCAAACTTTTTTTCTGAAAAAAAATTTTTCTGAAAAAACTATTTTTTTTCTTTATACTTAAGTTACAGATGAGAAAACTGAGGCTAGAAGGTAAATGAATCACTCCCAAATAGTTGATTTAATCATTGATTTCTGTCTGACTCCAGAGATGGCACTTCTGTTTTTGGAAGTATATATTTTTATTAAGAAAATAGTTTTTACTAAGAAATAGTGTATTATATCCTATATAATAAAGCATAATTATCCTCTAAATTTTATATCTAAAGTGGCAAATTAAATAAAAAATTAAAATTGAGCTTAAAAAAAAATTGAGCTCCAGAGATGGTACTTGCAAACATCAGAGAAGGGAGTAGTAAGATCGGGGTGTATTGAAGAGAGACTCATGCATTAGAATCTAGGAAATGCAGAATTATTGGGCCTCAGCAAGAGTGAGGATGGGGTCAGGTCTAGAGACTCTCCACTCTCTAATACTGTTTCTGTCAAGTTTCTCGGCTTCATTCTTCCCTTCAGGGCTGTCATCTCCACCCCTCTGTCCACTCCTTCCTCATCTTGCATGTAGACTTTCTGACCATTCTTATCTCAGATGAAATCTTGGAGCACCTTCACCCACAGTCACTTTCTTCACTTCTCAGATTGTCTATTTCCAAGTATCAAGCAAGGAATCTCCTATGTCCAGCTCATTCTTTGATCTTACATATGACTGGACAAATTTACACGACTTCACTTTGGGTCAAGGATCAACCTTTGGCCTAAAAAGCTGTGGCCAGAAGGTCTGAGCCAGTTGAAGGTAATATCTTCTGCTGAGGGGAGTTTCACAGTCTGGAGAGTGACATGAAAATCAGAATACAAATTCAAATCACAGCCAGTAGTTCCAGAAAAAAAGAGTGATGGGACTGGGCTGGCTACTGATTCTTCGGGGGAAAAAAAGAAAAATTGAAAAAAGGGAGGGAGAGTCATTCTTCAATTACTTGAGTGAGGTAGCTGACTAAACTCTTGGGCATTCCTTCTATGTTCAAATCCCCTACTTTTGCTCCAGAGAGAAGGGAAGTCCAAAGAAAGATATAATTTTCTTTAAAAAACAAGAAAATAAGACAAAATCTCCTGCCATAAGTAATCACTTCCAAATATTGACTTTTTAAGCCCAGTTTTATTTCCCTGTGGAATGACTGCATAACAGCTTGTGAGACATTTTCTCCCACTGCCCATTCAAAATGAGCAGTAACACTCACCTAGAATTGCACCATCCTGCTCATTTCAGGATCCCCAACACATATGACAATCACAAGCACGCTTTAGATAAAGGCACCCGTTTCTCCCAGTGACCTATCACTTCCAAGTGCCAAGGATTTGGCTCAGACACAGACTTTGCTGTGTCCTTGACAAACAGGAGAGAGAAAGTGGCAGAAGCTGATTTAGAAGTAACAAAATTTCACCTGAAAATAGGAGCTTCTTTTCTTTGTTCCCACTTGACAACTTCCAGCCTATATTAAATGCAGTATAACATTATACATTGGAAACACAAAAGTAAAACATTATATTGGAAACACAAGGCATCTAGGCTTTTGGCCAAAAATGTAGGGAAAAAATTAGCAAGCCTAATATTTCATGGAAAATTCTTGGCTTATATAATATTTTAATAAAGCTTAGTTACATGTGCCAATAAGGCATAGAGATGACAGAATGATTTATGGTTTAAATATCATACAATCGCTGTAGTGTCTAGTACTGTCTTGTATCAGACAGCATGAGAGAAGAAAATTCCCCAGGGCAAAGAAGGGAGAAGCAATGCAAAATCAATGCAAATATCAGTAGAGTGCATATGGCATAAACCATCTCATTAAAAATCTGATGAAAGGATAATAATAGCTAACACATACTAAGAAGATATGAGCTTTATAAGTATACTCTCATTTAATCTTGACAAAAATTCTATGAGGTAAGCATTATTACCTCCATTTTACAATTGAGATCCAGATTGGCTAATGTGCCGAAGGTTTAGTTGAA